TCAAACATCCAGACGCAAGAAGGAGAGTGCCCCTGGGCCCTTCGTTGAGGGGATCCCAGGGCAGAGCTGGCTTCACTTACAGCTCCTTTCTCCTCCCCTAGCTCTCCCTGCCACCCACGTTCCTGCCCCTCATCACGAGGGGAGTCCCAGAGACCAGGCGATGGCATCTGCACTATTCACGGCAGATTCCCAGGTGAGCTGTGGGCCCCTCTGCCCTCCGGAGTCCCTGTCTGCCTCTCTTCCCGGAGCTCTTCAGCAGTCTTCACCCAGGGCACTCGCTCTTAACCCCCCTGCCCAGAGAGTAGCCCCACTCCCCGCCTGTCCGTCAGAGTCCAGCCTGGTCACCTTTTCTTCCCCAGCATCCTGTAGGTTTGCAGTCCCTCCATCCCTGACTCCAGGTTCGGGCAGTGGGATTGTCCCTGAGCTTTGGGGAACTGAGTGTGGGGGTCTCATGTTATTCCAGGCAATGGTGAAGATCGAGGACATGGCCGTGTCCCTCATCCTGGAGGAGTGGGGCTGTCAGAACCTGGCTCGGAGGAATCCCAGTAGGGACAACAGGCAGGAGAATTACGGGAACGTGATTCCCCAGGGTAAGACGGATGCAGGATTGCTGTCTGATGAGATTGTGTTGCCCTTTTGTTTTGGTTAGTTGTGGGGCCTCTGATGTGTTCGGTTGGGTGTTCACAAGCTTTTAGAGACAACTGAGCGCCTTTCTTCAGACCAGAGAGAGAATGAGAACATCTGTTCGTGTTTAATCCCAAAAGCCTGGTACTGGGACTGCTGGTTTCAGGTGGATTTTTTCACCTCTAGGTAGTTTTTGCTGTTTGAAAGCAGAAATACTATTGTGTTCTGAATCTCCACCTCTTCAACCACTCTGTCACCAGTGAGGATCTGCTCCTTCCCTGTGGATTGCAGTTTGAGTGCTTTTGTAAGGGGTGAGGTGTCTGTATTTCCTAGTATAGAGGGCCAGGTGAGAACGGATCATTGGTCCAATCCTACCCTGGGACATGTTCCTGCAGCTACCAAGCATCCTTCCGTGGGCTTTCGGTCTTCTTGCATCCTGGGAACGCTGCTCCGAGACAGCTTTTTATGATTCCATGAACTTGTGCCTGTACCTCCCTTCTGCTCAGGTTTCCCAGATTCCAAACCTAATGGTGATCTTTGAAAAGCTCTGGCTCCTGAGTGTGTAGTATGAACAGTGACATTCTAAGAGGCTCAGCCAGACAAGAGAAGGTGACACAGCTGACAAGCAGTGCACGTGTCTCCGTAAGATCTCAGCCCCCAGGAGACTAGTGGAAAAAGCTCTTAAATAAGTCCTGTCCTGGGCAAGGCCACTTCCTAAGACTTCTGCCCGGGGAGGAAGGGAAACTGTGAGGAAAGGTTGTTACTACAGAAACTCTGAGTTTTGTTTTGAACCATAGGTATAACTGGCGTTTGTGGTTGGTTTCCTAGTACTTGTTTTTTGGACCAGATGAAGATTAAGCCAAAAATTTCATCTGTGTTTATGAGCCAGGTAGTACTCACCCTGTACTAACTTAAAAACAAAACAAAACATTGGGAACAGCCAGGGAACTATCCAGATCATCAAGGACTTAGGCTTGGAATTCAGAAGAAGGAGACCAGTTTCCTCTTCCTTGTGATCGGGTCAATGTTTATGGCGATGCCATCACTGAAGTCGGGCTGGATGTTACTCAGCTCCTTCAGTGGCTGCCTTCAGGGACCTGTTTGGGATAACGCACCCACTTGGAACGGTATCTTAAGGCCAAGTAAATCAAGAATAGATTTGGGATAGTTGGTTTTTTCCTAGACAAACGTAAACATATATAAAATATGTTTACTAAACAGTTTTCAGTCTCTGCTGAAAAACAAAATGGTGCACAGAATCCAGCAGTCCACAATAAAAATATTCTGGTGTTTTAATATGCAGGTTGCTAAAATCAGAGGATCAGCCCTGCATTTGTAAAATCCTTCATGGTCTGTCCCCGAAATTGTCTTCAGTTTATTTTCTGTTCTTAGTAATTCTCAGTTGTCCATCAGTGAAGGTTTTAATTACAATTACTAATGCCCCAGCCAGCGTCTTTGCCCTCATCCCTGTCACTTGAGCACCGTCAGCTCTGCGCTGCTCTCCCTAGTGGAGAGACGCTCTTTCCTGTGTCTCCAGGTGCCAGTAACCTGCCAGGTCCAGCGTTCCTTGTCTTACCGGTTAACTGTCGCCTTGTCAGTTAAAGTCTCACAGAATTGGCAGTGTTCGATTTTTCTTTATTAACTATATTCCTTCCTTTCTGCTAATACCATTTAACATTTTCTAGGAAAGACCTATCCATTCTCTTTTTAACTCATAAATACTTATGTTAGAACTGGAACATGATTTTTTTAATGTGTATTTATTCTTTCAAATTAATCATCGGGTGACCAAATTACAGAATAGTGAATTGCGGCCTCTTGTGTTCCGTAGTCCGTCATCCCTCCCTTCCCTCCGGGATGCTGTTCCCTCTGCTCAGTCCCCAGGGTGTCTGCTCATTCCCGCCCTCTGCACACTCCCTCAGTTAGCCCTGTTTTTCTCATTGTTTTTCTACTATTTTATCTCCAGTTCATATTGTGAGCGCATTTTGCAGCCATGTAGAAGCTTCTGGGAAAACAGTGTCACCTGAGTACCCCGTATCTGAAAGAAAAAGGTGCTATTTGTGTTTTCTGTTTATTGTGTCAGGTTGTGAAAACAGGAATGAGAATGAGGAGTCCACCTCAAAGGCTGAAATTGCAGATGACCCAGCGTCACAGGGGGAGACAGCAGGAAAGTTCCAGAAAGATTTCGGAGAAAAACGTGACCAGCAGGGCAGAGGAGTAGAAAGGCCGCAAAGAAACCCTGAGGAGAAAACCGGGAAAGAAAAGAGAGACCCGGGGCCAGCTGCAGTCAAGGAGAAAAAACCCAGCCCAGAAGGGCGAGGCCCTCGGGAGAAGGGGAAGGCGCTGGGGAGGAGCTTCAGCCTGAGCTCCAACTTCAACGCGCCTGAGGAAGTTCCGACGGGAACGAAGTCCCACAGGTGCGATGAATGTGGTAAATGCTTCACAAGGAGCTCCAGCCTTATTCGCCATAAAATAATCCACACCGGAGAAAAGCCCTACGAATGTAGCGAGTGTGGGAAAGCCTTCAGTCTTAACTCCAACCTCGTCCTGCACCAGCGCATCCACACAGGGGAGAAGCCTCACGAATGTAACGAGTGTGGCAAAGCCTTCAGTCACAGCTCAAACCTCATCCTGCACCAGCGCATCCACTCTGGGGAGAAGCCTTACGAATGTAACGAGTGCGGGAAGGCCTTCAGCCAGAGCTCAGACCTGACCAAGCACCAGAGGATCCACACTGGGGAGAAACCGTACGAATGTAGCGAATGCGGAAAAGCTTTCAACCGAAACTCATACCTTATTTTGCATCGGCGAATTCACACCCGAGAGAAGCCCTACAAGTGCACGAAGTGCGGCAAGGCCTTCACCCGCAGCTCCACCCTCACCCTGCACCACAGGATCCACACCAGAGAGCGAGCCTCCGAGTACAGCCCCGCCTCCCTGGATGCCTTCGGAGCGTTCCTGAAAAGCTGTGTCTAGTGCGAGAATTTGTCAACAAGCCATTTCCCCCTTTTGTTTCTAAAAGTATTGCAGAGATGTGTGCCCACGGAGGGGAAAAAAACAGCCTCAACAGATTTAAAAGGACAAAAAAATCACTCTTAAGGATCCTTCCAGTGACATCAGCAGTGTTCTGCCTTTGTCTGGCCTGCGGGTGTGTGATTGCTCCAAGCTGACCAAATGGATAACCCACGTGCTGTTTCCACACCAGATAAAAGCACACAGACAGGCCAACGTCAGGCTTTTCAGAAATGAGGATACCTTTCAGGCGCTCTCGGACTCTCCGCAGCCACACGTGGGATTGAAAGGTGAAGATCGGCTCTGTGAAGATGACACCGAGGTTAAAAACCTATTTGCCGCAAACAAGCCCTACTTGGCCAACATCTTGCTGAACCTTATTTCTCAAAAAAGAGGGACAGTCCACACAAAAACCACATTGGGACATGCTGCTCAAACTAGTTCCATATACGGTAAGGTATGTACACGGGCACTGGGGGCCTACCAAAGCTATCGGGATCTAGGACCGTGCTGATCAGTGTCAAACCAAAGATTTCTGTCTCTTCCTCAAAGAGAGGCATGTGCGCCAGTCTGCGGTTCCAGAGGACGGCCACAAACGTAGACGGGTGTGTCCTCATCACTGAGATCAGCTCTAGTGAAACGGCAGCAGTGACTCAGAACACTTCTCTGCCTTCACGAAATCCCCGAGCCCCTAAGCACTGTCGCACTCCTCGGTGCATTTCTCCACAAGTTAGCACTTGATTGTGTGCTGTCTTTGAACCCTTCATTGTTCCGCGTGTGAAAGTTTTCATCACTCCCCAGAAGAGACGCTTCTGTCATCAGGGGATGTGTTCATACCCCTGACAGCCCTGGACACAGGGCTGAGCACAGAAGCACTCATCCTGCCTGACTTCAAGCTGGACTTGCACACTTACGGTAAAGCCCTGTGAGTCACGGGCACCTGAAATCTGGCAGCCTGGCCCGGCTGGCAATCGGGGCATTCAGGGCTCCAGGCCTGCTGAGGCTCGAGAGTCCGATGCTGTTCTCGTCCGAAACATAAAAGAGAGGCGCTGGTTAGCTGCCTGCACAGACTGCACCTAAACATGGATCAGCGAGTCAACACTGGACTGTCAGAAATGACTTCATTGTCATCACCTTAAAGAAGAAAAATGTGAACACTTACTAAGGACATTTTTTGGTACCTGTCTATGGCAAAGATCTTAACCAGAACCTCTTCAGCCCCCTGCGGAAGCAACATGATTTGGGCACTTTCTGCGTCATCTGTGACTTTCAGTAATACGGCTCAGAAGGTGTGATTGCTGTTGCCTTTCAGAAAGAGGAACGTTTGTAGGGAGCATTTTTTTCCCTGCACTTTCCAGAAACATTTAAAAAATTGACATCATTAGCTGGCAATTACCTAAACGTGTTTGTTGCTTTGAGAAAGTCACCAACATGCGAAGCTGTGTTTGGTTGTATCACAGTCACGCTCATGGTGTCTTTTCTGTTTCTCCTCACTAAAGACTGAGGCGAGGTTATGTAATGTTGACCTTTCCCATCACCTGTGCAGGAGGATGCATTGGCTTCTGGGTGGAAGCTAGTGACAGGCCGTTTTCAGGTCCACATACAGCAGCGTGGGCTCCGTCAGAAGGCGTCAGGGCCTTAGGCAGAGATGAACCTGCTCACTAGAGTGTGCGGCTGATCCTGGACAGCCCTGCGGGGACTTGGAGTCTAAGAACACAACCTGAAGACCATGCCCATGACGGGAGACACCCCATCCCCTGCAGAGTTTGAGATTTTCTGTCAAGAACTAAAACTCATTTGTCAGCTATTCGCTAACCAGCAACCCACGCCTGTGAGACGGCGTCGCTTCACGAGGACCCAAGGAGGTGGGGCAGCTGTGGCCTTGGCTCCAGGCCAAACTGAACTTCCGCACGACACTCATCCTCTGGCCTCTCCTTGCAGCCCGGACCAGCTACAGCTCCCCTGTAGCTTCTCGGCGATTGCGTCGGTGCTGCCGGCGGAAGTCAGCTGGTGGCCAGAGTGCCCTCCAGTCTGAGAAAAGCAGGAGAGATGCTCCAGAGGAGCAAACCTAAGTAGCTTTTTATAGTAACGTGAAGGTAGAAGAAATGCTTTCAGGAATCTGCTTCAGAGAGCGAAGCATAGAAAGCTGCCGGTGCTCTTGAGGAAAGACTTGGCCGGGAAGCAGCCGCCAGCCGTGAGGTTCCTGGCTCCTCACCCTGAGCGGAGCGCCGACCGTGCTGAGCAGGCGAGGGGCGTTGGTTGGTTCCACATCGGCCCTTTTGAGCCGCAGCTACACGCTGACATCATTCAGCCCTCTTTTTTTTCTTCAATGGAAATTAAAGAAAACCTGTGCCCCCACATTTAATTCCTGTTTTACTGGGACATCGTACTGACCATGTGGGATGGCCCCTCGGGGTTGCTTCAGGTCTTCGGCAACACACTCCTTGAAGCAGCTATTTGAAGATGTGTTTTCTGAAGAAAACAGGCTCCCGCTGTTTATTAAAACCATGCACAGTGCATTCATTTATCAACTGCTCAGTGCAGAGTGCAACTGGGCCATAGTCCTAAAGGCTTATAGCATCTAATCAGCGCTCAGGATAGTCATTCGGAAGTTCCTGACTGGCTGAAGTCTGTCAGCAGTTGAAGTGCTCTCTGGCTAACCATTAGCATGCTGGCTGACCCAGTGGAAGTTTGTGGGAGGTTTTTTAAAACTACACCTTAATCTTGCCAGGAAGAGACGTGAAATCCTTCAGGTTGTGGGGGAGTCGCGTCGTCTTCATCCTGGCAGGCAGGGCTGAAGCCTGAGACGGTCGAGGTTTGAGGCATCTTGATATGTAAGGCACTTAGGATTTTATTAAAGGCATACAAGGGAAACTGTGCTAAGTATGCACAGAGAGGTGGACGTGTTTGTTGTGAGACAAGTCACATCTCCCATCGTAGAATTCATTCCGAGAAGGAATCTCTTGAATGTGATGAGTGTGGCAAAGCCTTGAATCGCATCTCAGCCCTTGGCATCAGAAAGCTTACACTGTAAATAAACTGCTAATACTATGTGCGAGGAAAACTTTATTGTATAGCACTCATTGCTTTGGACAGAAAATGAATTCCGTCAGTCTGTTCCAATCATGTAATGAATTTCAGAAACACTGCAGAGGAAGCTCAATCTTAACTCCAAAGGATCCACGGAAGAAAAAAAAATGTGGGGAAATGCTAAAGAAATAGCAAAATGTACGACTTCTGACAAGAACTGTAAATGTCGGGTACTTCTATATATTTTGTACGACCGTAGTGTCAGTGTCTGTGTTTTGTACCTCCAGCCCCTGTTGTTACTCTGTACAGCCCCTGTAAACAGATAATGTATTTTATTTTAATCTATTTGACAGAACACATCACTCCAGAAGAGCAATGTCTGGGAGTGAGTAGTGAAGAAGATTGTGGTTATAGACAAAAAAGTCAGTTCCAAGAACTGAGGAGGGGGGAAAAGAGAAAACAAAAACAAAAACAAAAAACCTTCAGAGTTTGGAGCTTATCAAGTCAAGAGAGATGAGCAGATTGTTTAGGAGAGGCAGGTTCACAAGGCACTAAAATGGAGCAGTTCCTCCAAACATCTGCAGCTTCCTGGGACTTCCCTCCTAACAGCCAGGAGGTTGACCTCTTAGCTGCCAGATCAGCGTTTCAGGCAAAGAGAAGGGGTCCTCTGAGCTTGTCGGGGGGAGTGAGAAGGTCTACGCATTGCATTGAGGTGGGGGGTGTTTAGGAAGACCAGTGGGACCCCTGAACCTTAACTGGATGCTGTTAACCATAGGCCTGCCTCTCCCACTAACTCGTAAATCCTTGCTTTGAAAATCAGAGTCAGGAAGACACCAAGACGGAGAAAACAGGCACAGATGTGTCCAGTTCCTGTCGTGGCAGGAAGGTTCTAGAAGCATTTTGCAGCGTTCCCTCTGGCTGTCTCCTGTGTAGCTTCCCTTCCCCCGACAGACTTGCCCTGGTTTCTGCTTGTTAGGAAGGAGGCCTTGTGAAGATTCATAGCCGTGAAAGAACTGTTTCTTACTTTTCATCCTGGAGTTGATCACCTTTTACTCTGGGTCTGGTCCTCCTGATGTCCTCCCCTGAAGACCAGGTTCATCCTCCCATCCTCCTGGAAGACTCACTGTGCAAATTGGAGTAACGGTATTAAAACAGGAGTCAAGCAGGGACAGCGATTCTTGTCAGAGGGGCCGTATTTCTGTGTCCCGCTCTGCGCAACTTCTCAGAAACATTGATGAGGGGGCTGTGGTTCCCCAGCGGGAAGCCCAGTGAAGGTGTGCAGATTGCAAAGTGAAACGTGGAGAAAAGGATACTCAATGATATAAATAGATCTTTTCGTAGAAGTTAGAGTAGATTTTTTATTTCAGCTACTACTGGAGAATATAATAAAAAGCATTATTTGAGAAGTTTCCCTAACATTTAGGTTTCGTTTTTAGAATGGACATGCTACTGTACATTTTAAAGTAGTTACTTATTTTGCTATTCAAATTAATTTTTTATTATATCTAAGAAGGATATTATCTGTTTTACTTTTCAAAGCTTTGTAAAGCAAACTTGAAGTTCTAGGGGAGGTAAGCCATCTCCAATTCTGCAGGTCAAAGAAAAGTTTGGGAAATACTTTGGACATCTCATAATACAGAATGTCTTAACACGAGAACTTAGCTTCACGGTGTCTGGTTCTGTTTAATAGCAGATACCACAAACCTCATGTTTTTCTCTTATCCTAAAACAGTGGAAGGTATAGAAGGGGCATTCGGTTGACTTCTGGACAATGGTCTACTGTTATTTTAACCTTTTTTTTTCCTTTTAATCTTTGAGATTCTCACCTACACTTACTAAAGAATCATGACTCACCTCACATTACACTAATTAGCAAAGTTAATTGGTCTTAAAGTTAAATTTTCTCCCTTCAGCAGGCATTCATTCAGCAGTCAGGCTGAGGGGTTTTAGATGCAAAGAATAAGTTCTGTGAGTGTTTGAAAGGTGGTATTGAAACTGGGATCTCTTTCCAGCTTCAGATTTGGGTTTCAGGCTTCTCGGGTCCAGGGAGGGGTCTGGGCAGCTGCAGTCGCCCCATGTCACCATCAGTTGGTCTTCTGACAAGGTCAGGTGTGTTAGCAAGGAGATGGGAGGTAGAGTGGGAAGGGCCGGGACTCCCAACTGGGCAGGGTAATGAGGCAACCTGAGGAAGGAGGGGAGAGAGGCTGTTGGGTGTGATGGGCGGAGCAGTGCTCACCTGCCTTCCCCCCCACTTTAGAAGCTTCACAGTGTGAATAAGGTTTTAGTCCATCCAAGCAAGGACAAAGCATATTAGACTGAGAGATGCTTCTGCTGGCTGCAGAGGTTCTAACATGAATATGTGAGGAGGTGGGTGGGAGGAAGTGGGTTGTGATGACACAGGAAAATTTGGTCTAAAAAGATACCAGTTGGGGGAAAAGGGTGGGATATGCAAGCAAAAGCAGCAGTTATTTTAAAACAAACGTATTTTTATTAACTTTTAGTTAAATATAGATTATTACAACCAGGTCAACATGATAAGCCTAAATCTATATATAGTGCTAACTCAGGCATCGTCTTGTTTATCTGTAGACTGGCTGAAACAAACCTTTCCTGTCTTGTCAGTTCCTGGTTTTCTTAGTTTAGAATAAATTAGACCAAAAGAAACTTACTTGTCTTTGTATCCCCGCAGAGTTAAGTTATTGCTGTTAAAATCTGACCTTTTCATTTCTCCAGTCTTCAAAGAGTCCAGATGCTTGGTAGATGTTCAATAAATGATTTTTAATTGAATTTGTTTATTTTTAATCCTCATTAACATTTCTAGAAAGGCTTCTTTCAATAAATAATGAAATCTTAGAGGAAAAATGTTTGTTTTTTTAAGCTGGGAAACTCCTCCTTTGAAAATAATTTGAAAACTTGATCAAGGACTAAAGTTCCAATCATGAGAAATGGCAGCAAAATAAAATTTATATGCATTTATAGTCAGTGGTCCATTTTAGGAGGCCAGTGGTGTCTGACAAATTAGAGTAGTGAGGTTGGGGAAGGAAGTTGTGGGGATTTGTAATAAATATTCTCTATGTTGTTTCTCTTCTGGGTCATGGTAAAACAATAAATTAATCATCTCTAGGTGGCAGTGTTTGTGGCATTTGTTTTTTGTCATTGGTTGTGTAAAACGCGTGTTTTGGGTAAAGAGAAAAGTATAATTTCAAAGTCAAAAACTAGAACTGTGACCCAAAACAATCCTCACCAAATGTCACGTTCTAAGTAATTTCACAAGAGCTGAGAGCTCTAGGAAGCTTTTTGGAAAGACGGCAACAGAATGAAAAGCCATGGAATAAAAGTTGCTTTTTAACGATCCCCCCAAAACATAATTTTCTCATAAGACAGAACCATTAAAATAACCTTTGACCAATTTATGAAACTTAGAAAGCTGGACGTCCTAATGGCAGGAGCAGCATGTAAAGCTGATAGTTTAGATCTTCAAACTCTGACCTCTAACCGGAAAACATTTGTTATTTCATAACTCACAGAAACAAACTCCATTTGGGTTTTCTTCCCCACTTTGTCTCATATAAGTTTTTTTCACCCTATTAAGAAACCAGAGGGAGGGTGCAGAGTGTTCTGTTTTCCTCTGTGCTTCAGTTTCTGGATCCTTAAGGAATACTAACCCCCTGCTCTGCTTGCTTTCCAGGCCTGTGGTGGGATAAACATTTTTTAAAGTAAATAAAGGTGCACATGTGAAAAAACAGTGTATTTTTACTACAGTAACTTCATGGCCAAATCTTAGTTCAGGGGCACTTTACCCTCTCCTGTCCAACTGTCATCCTGTCCTGGATTCCTCAAGATAGAATTTGAGGTGAGGGCTTGTGTGAAGATGGTTTATTTTAGGAAATAATTCCAGAGAACAGAAGTTAGTTATTTAATGGAGGTACTGGGGCTTGAACCCAGGACCTTGTGCATGCTTAGCACATGCTCTACCACTGAGCTATACCCTCCCCCCAAAATCACCCTTTTGTAAGTGAAACATCCTGGCAGTGTCCCCCAACCCGTGAGTCTCCAAAAAATACAACCTTGAAATCAAGTCTTTGTGAACATAGGGGCCCCATTACAATCTCATGTGACGGACAGAATTTCACATGGCCTCTGTGATTCTCCCAAATTGCCCCAATCACTACTCAGTCCGTTCCCCTGCCCAAGTCCTCGACCTTTTGCAATTCCAGATCCTCTTGAGGAGGAACGGTATTTCCTCTGGAATGATGGAAATTGCCACACAGGTTTAAGAGGCCTTTCTCTTCCCAAACTACTCAAGTCCCTTTGCCAGTGGTCACCACCACTGCCTCCAATTCTGAGATGTCTTCAGTATGACCACTGCAAATCCTTGAACCTGGGAGGTGCTAGTCTGACTGTACCCTGCCTGGGTTATCTGTCATCATGCGTCCTGTATTTGGTTCTGGACTCCACGTTTTAAAAGAGAGACAGACCAACTACAGGATGGTAAAGACAAAACCACCTCATGTCTGCAATAAAGGGTTTCGTTTGTTGAGAAAACTCATCAGAACTTGGTCTCTGCCCTCCAGTATCTAAAGATCTGTCATGCTAGAAGAGGGATTCAATCTGGTCTGCATGACTCCAAGAAATAGACCTGAATCCCTTTCAACAAATGTTATCAGGCCATGTGCTGGGTGTCAGGAATAATAAAAAAGAGAGACCACATGAGTAAGGCAGGTAAGTGAAACCAGCTCTGCCCAGCCGCTACCAGGACTTTGGGCAAATTGGAAAAAAAGCACCCCTTCCTCAAGGCACCTGACTGCCCTCTGCTGGCCAGTTGTGACAACTGTACAACTCCCTGTCCTTTTTGCTATAGGTAGTTACAAAGCCAGTGTGAACAGAATGATCTCATGTGATCCAAATGCTTTAACGTTGTCAGAGCAGGTTATTATGATGCCCATTTTCCAGACAATTAAGTTCCATATCCAAAGTCCCCAAGGCTCATTAGCAAGAGAGCTCCAGCTCTAAGCTATGGGGGTTGTCTAACGACATCACCTTTATTCTCTTCCTTTCATTGTGTTTACCCTAATGAATGTCTTTGCAGTTTCTCAACATGTTGTACAGGTGGACTCCCTCTGGGAAGAAGAAAAGGGACGTTTTCGAAGCTGTAACAGGCGAGGAGCTTGGCAAATTCGCAGAGAAATCAAGGTTTGATTGCCCTCTGCTGGCCAAACGTAGGGATGGCAGCAAAAATAAGTGATGGCGAGACTGAGAGAGGAAAATCCAGAAAGCAACCATTTTGGAGAGAACCGTGACACCTAGCTGGAAGGAGAGGGAGGGAACCAGGACCTACAGTAACCAGTGATAGCTTTTCCCCGTTTGGATTTCTGCTACAAAGGGGAGGGGGTCCCTTTCTTTTTCAAACTGAATAATCCTTCAAGACAAAAGAGAACTGAATAATGTAGAAACAGTAAAGCGGGAGAGTAGGGATGTTATTTAAATGAGGAGCCATGGACTCTCAGGGTCGTTTTACGTTTTACACTCCAAGACCCAGAAGCAACTTTCAGACAAGATCATGGAACCCCCTTGTTGGTGATCTTTGGGACAATCATACGTGAGAGTTTTCAAATATTTTCAAGGGCTGACAAGAACAACTACATGCCATTTTGTGAGAGAAAAGAAGTAATCAGGACTACAATCAAGTCAGTGAGTTGAAATTACAGGAAAGCAGGTTTTTGCTTTAATTTAAGGGACTTTTAGCAATCAGAACCCTCCAAAAGGAGGGAACTGTTCTAAAGTAGTCAGCTCCCAGCCACAGAAGCAGTTAGAAGCAGAGGGTTGTCACAGAAAGGATGTTTGCATGTTAGATGTTAGGCTGTGCATCCCCAAGATGACACGTTCGCTCAGTCACCATTTAATGGTCTCCTCTCTATTACCATTGACCACGTCCATAATTATTTGTTTACATATTTGCCAAGAACTGCGTGTATTTTTCATTTTTCATTTTCTTCTTATGCCTTCACACAGTGCCTGACAGAGTGTAGCTTCTTTAAGTTTGTTGAATGAATTCATTGGAAGAGTAGGAGGTTCTTGGAAATCAAAACCATTCTGAAGAGGAAATGCACATTACAGTGAGCCCCCCGTCACGTCGGCTAACTTTTCCTTTGCTCTCTTGTGGTTTTGTCATCTGGTCATGGTAATATTAATGCGAGACGACAATGGACCACCTAAGTTAACCTGTTTTACTTTACATACTTCTGTACGTCTTTGAAAAAAAATTTTTTTAATTTAAATGATCCTAGAAAACATAGGGGAAAATGCTGTCTCATGTCTACAAATCTATAATGCATTTAGACGGAATTCCGTGCGCAGGCACGCTGCTGTCCCTTAACACGTGTGCCTTTTGAGGGACCAGGCAAAAGCAAACTCAGTGGGGGCCAGAAGGGGTGGGGCTGAGATCGAAAACACCGAGAATGTACAGTCTGGAAACCCGCAGCTGAGCCGGGCGGGGGGTGGGGGGAGGTGGGGTGGAGGTAGGCAAAGACCTTTCTACAAAGTCCTGCAGCATCAGGAGCACTTAGACGGCAGCCTCAGACATTTCTGTCCAGGAAGTTTAGAACCCGCAAAGCCCCCAAGGTCACAGCTACTTCAGGTTGATGCCGCTGTGACCTGGTTCTGAGGATGTTACTTGAATCTCTGGCTTGGTGGGATAAGCGTGGGGCTCTATGTCTGTAAACGGGGACCGGGTTCATCACGTGACCGACCTGAGGGTCACAGATGAACGGGCCTCTGAAGTCCACGAAGGGGACCAAGGTCGCTGCGCCGAGCTCACGCCTCTCCTTGGCCCTGGGCGTCGGGGGCGGGCTGCGAGAACCCCCAAGCTTTCATCTGGTCGTCTCCTCCTTGGTTTAAAAAAAAATGGAGAGGGGACGTGGTCCCCGCCCGTTCACGTTGCGGGGACGCCTAACCCTAGTTGCTGCTGAGCCTCAACCTCCCAGGTACCCGAGACACCGAGATGACCGAAGACCTCCCAGATTCCTAGAGGGGCCGCTGCGGACCCCAACCCTACAGCTCTCCGTGGGCGGGGCTATTACGCACTTCCGGCTGCGCCGGCCGCGGTGAGCGTCGAGGTGTTCCAGCGCAGTGAACGGCTCTGACTCGCGGTGAGCCTCCGGGTCCCCGGTTCTCGTGGCGGGCGGAAGAGGGAGTTTCCGTCGAAAGGATGCGGAGAGGGAGGGGTGTGTTAGGCATCTGTGTCCCCTGGGGACTCCCCAGACCGGTCCTGAGAGGGCGGTGGGAGGAGCTCTCTGTCCCTGCCCAGCCCCAGACGGCGGAGGCATCTGTGCCTTGAAAGACTTTTCCACCTCCAGGGGTTTAAGAGTTGAAAGTTGGTCTCTTTCGAGTTCTAGAGCAGTTTTTCTCTCCACTCCCTGAGCCGAGGCGTCCGTCAGTCTGAACAGGGCTGCCTTCTTTTCCCTGCCTCTCAACTGGCGGCCCGAACTCGAGGCTAATAGGTAAGAATGCGCCCGAGGGGATTAGGGACCGCCTGCGAGAAATAGCCTCAGAAGTTTGGGGCAGTGTCTGATCTAAGGAAGAAACAGTCCTTTGGGCTTTGTTCAGGTTCGAAAGCACATAACAGGATTTCCTCAAGTTTGGAAACACTTATTTAAAGGACCATTTATTTATAGTTTGTCAAGAGAAAGGTGATCTTGTGAGTGGGGTACTTGGAAATCTCTGTTACGTAAGAAACAGTTGAAAAAAACTGTGAAGAAAAGAGTTAAAAGGCAAGAAAATTGTTTTCAGGTATTGAAAGGCTACTACGGAAAAAAGGAAGTTTTGGTTTAAGATGGAACTAGGATCAGTAAAGAAAGAAGATGAAAAGTGACGCAGAATTTGATGCGGGTTAAAGAAAACTTTGTAACAATTAGAACTGTCCAGCAGTAGAAATCTGTGCCTCAAGAATGATCAAATTTGTGGGGAGGGTATAGCTCAGTGGTAGAGCACATGCCTGGGTTCGATCCCCAGTACCCCCATTAAAATAACAAACAAAACTAATTACCTCTCTCCCCCCCCAAAAAAATTGTTTAATGGTCAAATTTGCCTGCATAGGAGTTTTCAGGTACAGAACGAGTGTGTTAAAAGCAGTCTGGTATTAATTGTTAAGTCCCATTAAGTTGTTAGAATTTATGATAATTTGGTTTATTTATGCCTCATCTTGTTCCAGAATGGTTTTGGGGCACTTTCATAAGGGCATATAAGCTTTGGGAAATTAGCATAAAAGAGGTGGAGGGGAACTGGGAACAGAATAAAGACTGCTGTTTGTACTAGACCATGAACTTTTGCTTGATGGGCCTCTTGTGCAAATACTCTAGATATCTTAAAGAAAGTAGTTCATTGTGGTTGAGGACAATATGAGTAATGAAGCCTCTGTTTTCTGTTCATGTGCTTTTTTTTTAAATTTTTATAAATGCTTTATTAAGAAAAATTCAGAATCCAAGACTGGAGGTCATTCCTAAAGGAATCTTTAGACAACTCAGCATGACCTCATACTGGCTTTACTCGGGTTGGGGTGAGGGTGGGGGGCACAGTGGATAGAGCATTATCAAAAAAAAAAAAAACTTTGCCAGTCTGTTAGGTGGAAGAGAGGGACAAGATGAGGTCAGAGAGGCAACAGGGTCTGAGATCTTTGAGGTCTTGTTGGCCTTGTGATTTTGGGTATTACCCTGTTTGAGAGACGAAGCCTTGAAAGGTGTGAGCAGAGGAATGTTGTTATCTGATTTGTGTGTAACAGGCAAGAGATGATGGGCTGGGACAACAGTGTTGGAGGTAGTGAGAAGTAGCTGAACTCTGAATCTCTCAGATGCAGAGCTAATAGGATTTGCTCATGAATTTTGTGTAGACGTTAAAGAGGAGGCAGATGACTGGGTTTCTTTTGGTCCAAAAAAAACAAAACAATGGAGTTGCCATTAACGGAGTTGAGCAGCTTTGGTGGAAAGATGGGAAGTGCAGTTTCAGGCATGTTAAGCTTGAAATATGTAAGACATACTGGTTGTATGAGTCTGGAGTTCAGAAGAGAGGTCCAGGCTGGAGATAAATTGGCTGTTGTGAGTATATAGATGGTAATTAAAGCCAGGTGACTGGCTGAAACCTCCAAGGAGCGTGAGTGCAGTAAGGGTCCAAGCACCCAGTCTTCCACTTGTCTGTGGCCTCTCTGGGGTGTGAATTTGCACTGTTGGGCACTACGAAACTGGTACATAGAATAAATCACTGAGCTGGTGAGCCAGCCCAGCTGGTTGCCAAGCAGCAGCATCTAGGGAAACTTTGTATTCTTTAATTGTGACTGTGTATGTGTTTTTGTAAAGGCTGTCATGTGGTACAGTGGCAGCTCTGAGTTGGGACTTACTAAGTTTTGGGAACAGATCCCGCATGAAGGTGATAATAGGAGACTCCCTGTTTAATGCTGCCTGGCTGCATTATAACTCCTAGTGTCTTGCTGAGTTTCCCAGGCAGGATCCCAGAAGCTGAGCTGCCCAAACAAGTTCCAAGTCTTTTTTGTTCTTGAGGTGCCCTCCTCTGGATAGAGTGGGAAAATTTGTAACCAGTTATGTAAAGTTATTCCAACACTTAGGAGGTCCCCTTGGAAGCATTTCTAAGGAATGCTCCCAGCACTATCTCTATATTTAGGTTATTTTAGCATTTGGTGCTAGTGCCTTTATTTTAAGAGGCTAAATGGCTGTGCCTCTCCCCTGGGTCAGTTTTCAAGTAATCCTGAACTTGGGAGCTTCAGCAGTGTATTGGACGCCGAGGACAGCATAAGGGAGTGTTTCATGCTGATTCTGGTCCACCGTGTCAGAATACCTATTGGCACATCATAGGGTGCTTCAGAATCGGTGGAGGGAAATCCCAGGTAGCATCCCTAGAATTCTGAACTAATTAGCTGATAATTACTTTCTTGTAAAAGCAAGACTGCATATTAAGGGGTTTTTTTAATTCTTATTTTTTATTGAAGTGTAGTCAGTTTACAATGTTAGTTTCATGTGCACAGCAAAGTGATTCAGTTATACATGTACATTTGTGTATTAAGCTTTTATTCCTAGAATCCCATTTTGTATGTTTTTAATTACCAAAATTGGTCACAAAAGTAAACAAAGGGGAATAGTCATAGAAAATACACATTTTTAATACAGCTGTAACATAAATGTACCTTTTTGAGGAGGTTCTGCATGGGCTGGAATTGCTGCTTTTTTGTTTTCCTGGGCTTTTCTTTGAAGGCCATGAAGTTGGGGCATTAGAAATAAAATCTGTTTTGTTTGTTAAAAATTGTTTTATGATCCCTTTAAAGATTTTATGATTTTCTGGTTACAAAAGTAATAATGCCCATTATAGGAAAATTGGAAAGTCAAAAAAAAGAGTTAAAAAAATTAAAATCATCCATTATTCTGTAACCCAGAAATTTCACTTTTAGTGATTTTTCCTGTTCCTTTCAGTGTGATTGTGTAAATATTATGAGCGTGTGAGACTTGATATTTCAAGTGCTATCTAGCCAGATCCATGGAGATTGACATGCATGTTAGAAATGAGCAAGTTTTTAAACGCCTTAAATTTAGATTGTCTGCAACTCCTATTCCCTCATCTTCAGCTTTTATAAACCATTTATACATCCTTTTTATGGTCTCTACCATTGTTATCTATGTAATGTCATGTAACGAGCACCCACGTAGATTTTTATGTGTTTGGCTCTTTATTGAGACTACTGGGGCTTTCCTGATCTAGATTATTCAAATCCAGTGTGGGAACACCTATGTGGTGGGAAAGATGCTGCTTAGAGTTTGAAAACATGCTCACCAGGAAGGCCAGTCACAAGCCTGTAAGATTAACTAACTTACAAGTAGTTTTCTTTCAAAATGTATGGTTAGTGAATGCCAGTAGTGACAGACTGAGTCTGTTGTCTGTCTACTCAC